AAAAAAAAAGATTTCAAATTTTTAGAATAGTTCTATCCTCGCACCATTTTTTTAACGTTAAATTCCTTTTTAGAAAGATGTTTCTAGCCCAACTCGCTTGAAATACATTGACAACAAAAAAAGATGGCAAACAAATTCTCTGAAGTTTCGTAGAACTTTACTATACTTTCATACTATGGTAAAAATGCACGAAACCTCATTAAATATTTCATAAGGTTGTGGCTGTTACTGTAGATTGTGACTATAAAATTTATAGTAGCACCCACATCTACTCTTTCCTTTTAGTTGTGAAAGAGAAATAAAATAAAATTCAATCCGTTACAATAAGTTAAATTAAATTATTAACATTGCCATCGAGCACTATTCATACTTTGCCCAAAGGAGATTTTGATACTGAAGAACATTTTGCTTGATGATCATACCACCACAGATCATTCCTCAGTGATATTCTCATCAATGGTATTTACTCTAAAGGACATTTTTTTCATGGATGAAAGGTTAGGACATTCTAGATTATTATATTAACAACCAAAATTCTGTTGAACTGAAACACAAAATGATTTATTTGAGTAGCACCATGGTACAATGAATCGAAAAAAAGTTCATACAGAAAAATATTATCGACATGATCCTAATTTGCGATGCACAATTGTTTACCCGATCATTGATTCGCCGTTGTCGACACATTTACTTTGACCACCAAATCGATTGGTTGGACATGGGAGACCTTCACGAGTTGTACTACTGCAAGCATATCCAGGTGGACATGAAATACATACAGCCATGCCAGGTTTATCAGCATAGGCGCCATCTTTGCACAATTCACACTGAACTGATCCTAAATTAACTTGTGCTGAGCCAGGTGCACATAGAACAGGTAGACCAGCTGGATCTGGGCAGTAACGACCTAAACAATGATATGATGAACAAGAAATTTTTCTTAAACAATATTCTCTTCTATTTGTGTGATTGTCGAATAAAAAAATGAACTAGTCAAAAATCTAAGGCATAATTATTCTCGTACAATTACTATTATTTTCTTATTTAAATTCAAGCTCTTTGTTAGATGTTGCTGCAAAACATCTTGTCATCAATTCAACTTTGACACATTTAATAATATAGAATTGAATATTTTGCAATCTTTTCCTCGTCATCATATTCAATGTATTCAGTGCATTTATAAGAAAACTGAATACACTGATAAAAACGTTAGGCCTAATTCTATGTTGTTTTATTGAATTGGACTTACAAAATGGTAATAGAAATTTTGAGTTCATATTTTAGAAATGTTTTCTTTCAGAATTAATTGATTTTTTTTTTTGAGTTTAAATAGTGACATTGAATAGATTTATTGAGATGATTATGATCACTCGACTTCACATCAAATATTATTCATTGGCAAAAAAAAACTAACTGTCGAGTAAATCTTGGATAATGATAGGCAGAAAAATCTGATATGACCACACAAATATAGTGGATGTCCAAAAATTGTCAAATTTCAATTGAGTATTATATTCTGATACAAAAAAAAAATCTTACTGATGTCGTGCTCAAAATGTAAAAGTCGTTTACGTTTTCAAAGGTTTCATAAAATGTACTTGATTTTTATAAAAATAAAACTTCAGAAATATCCAGGAATTTGCCGTTTGTTCTTGGACAAACTGTAACTTTTTTATTACTAGAGATCTTATTGATATCCTATTTATTTTTCTTATAAAGAGTCTATTGAAAGTATAGCATTGATCATGTAGAGAGTTTCTGTTCGTTTCTAATTGAATTGAAAAACGAGTAAAACAATAATAGAAAGGATATTCGCAAACATTTTTCATTGTTATACTTTTCAAGCAGCATGTGTGTATAGGATTTAATTGAAAGTAATAAGCGCTTTATCGACTTACCCGGTCCACAAATAAGGCAATATGTTGAACCTGTTTGTACTGTTTTATAACCACTTGGACAGTCGGGTGTCGGTGTGGGTGTGAGTGCGGGTGTGGGTGGGTGTGGGTGTGTGGGTGTGGGTATGGGTGTAGGTGTGTGGTTGTAGGTGTGAGTTAAAATAGAATAAACGCGCACCCACACCTACACACACCAACACCCACCCACCCACACCAATACCCAACCTACACCCGCACGCCCACGCCAACACCCAACCTACGTCCACACCTCACACCCACGCTCTCTAAATGAAACGGTTATCAAGTGGAAAAATAGCTATAGTACGGATACAAAATACTGATCCAAGTGCCAATGCTACATTTGAAGTCCAAGCAACTGACGATAGAAGTGTCACCATTCGAATTATCAAAGTTCGACATCATAAATAAGATCTTGCATCTTTTGCATACTCGAAAATCGTATATATGTAACCCTGTCATTTACGTCCACGTATTAAAAATTTTTCCGGGTCTCTGTTTCTCTCATAGATTCCAAAGATAGGATGAAAAGCTTGTTAGCGTAGGCTTAGAGAAGTCTAAAAAGGGAAACTTGTCTCTTTAAAGTGCAATCTAAGTTAGAACAAATTGCAGAAACAACTCAGCAACTGGAGAGATTTAATGGAGAATCTCATCGTCATATTGAATAAGGCATATACTTCAAAAATCTTATGCATTTCATGAAGTACCAGATGACTATTAGAATTACTTTCCAGTGTAGATAATGAATGAGACGAAGGCGAACATTAATGATCTCTATTTTCAAGAAAAAGATGCCAACTATTTGCTTTATTCTATTTTAATTGATATTCATTAGAATATGAAAAAGAACGGATTCAAAATGAAAGGGAAATATTTTGGCAGCTGACGTACATTTACAATCGCATTGTACAAACTCAGACCTAATTGCATATATTGCATACATCATGCATTTTGAGTTTTAAAACTTCCTGTCGCTGATCGGTAGCGAGAACAATTTACTCCAATGTAATATCTCATCAGATTTAATGTGATTTCGTTAGAAGTTATTCGAATCTTTAGGAAAGACTTCGGAAAATAATTTCTCGAATTTCGGATCGAACGGTTTAACCCTTTGGAGCCGGTGGTACAAGGGTTGTGCCATCTGTTTTTCAATAAAGAGAAAATTGTTTTATTTACATTAAAACGTTAGGCCTGGAAGGTCATATCTTACTTCATTTGTCATCCCATGCACATCTTTTCTTTCTGTCGTATAGGTCCTTCTCAGAGATTCTTTTTTTTTTCTACTACTGTACAGTGACGTCATTATTTCTCTCTCTTCTTCTAATATATTGTTTTCGAGAATATTCCTACTTTCTATTGCTCTTGTATATATATCTACTTCTATTCTCATTGATACAATTACATTGTTCTTGCTAGTGCAATAGAATTATCATTTTCTTTCACTATTTTTATTGCTTATTCAATACACTTTGTTAGTTTTTCGTTCAGAGGGAATTAAAACGACTTGTATATTTGATTTCTTTCTATTTTGGTTATAACAAAAACCAAACAAATGGAAGTCTATGAAAATAATGAAGCTTATGACGAGTCCTCTGATTCATGTATCAGTGAAGACAACACCGAGAGCGAATCAGATTTTGATTATAATGGTTTAATAGACGATCTAGACGAACTTCGAATTTCAGAAGAAGATTCAGATGCAAATGAAGAGGAGATGAATTCTGTCAATGAAAGTCATGTCGCTAATGACGGCTTTACCTCAGTTTCTCTCAAAGAAATAACTCTAATTTCAGTTTTCAGAAACTTTCTCACCGAAGAAATTTTAAAACTAATTACTGATCAAACAAATATCTATGGAAAAGATAAAAAACGAAGAAAAAGCCAGACAAAAGTCAATAGCTGGAAGGATATAAACAAGAAAAATATTGAATCCTTTCTTTTAATAATTATTCTAATGGGAATTCATGACTTGCCAAAGATGAGACTTTATTGGAATAAAGATATTATTTTTCGTAATAATTTTATCTCTTCGGTTATGTCAAGAGATCGTTTTCTTCAAATATTTTATAATTTACATTTGACCGATAACTCATTGGAATCAAAACGAGAATCCAAGGACTACAATAGAATTTACAAGATTAAGAATTTCACTGAAATTTTACTGGAAAATTTTCAAAACAATTATCACTTTGGACGCTATGGTTCAATCGATGAGACTATGGTAAAATTCAAAGGAAGATCAACTCTCGAGCAGTACATACCTGTAAAACCAATAAAAAGAGACTAAAAATTCTGGTGTTTATGCGACTCCATTACTGGTTACTTATTCAACTGTAAAATCTACGTAGGAAAAAACACCGCGATGAGCAGGAAACATTATTAGGAGAATGTGCCGTTTTCAGTCTTATTTCTGACCATAATTTCGAAGGAAAGTATTTATATTTCGACAATTTTTTTTACTTCGATTCAATTATTAGAGAAGTTTAAGTTACAAAACATAATAGCTACTGGAACGATTAGGTCAGATTGTGTGGGTGTTCCATCGAATTTTGCCGTGAAAGAGAAAATGAAACAAGAAAATTGCAAGTCAATAATTGTGTCAAACACTATTATCTTTAAATGGATGGATACAAAACACGTGTTTTTGGCGTCAAATAACTGTGAAGACAATAAAGTTGTTCCAGTTTCTCGACAACCAAAAAATGGCCAATTTATTACGATTAACTGTCCAAAAGCAATAAACGATTACAACAAGTTCATGCGTGAAGTTGATCGATTCAACCAAAGAATATCCTACACTGTAAAAAAAAGGTACGATACTAAACCATTTGGACTGCTACGAAACCTCGAATAGTTTTTCACCATGTTGCGAAACCTAAAAAGGTTTTTGAGCACATTGCGAAACCTTGAAAGGTTCCGATTTTTGTAACGAAATTCGAACCATTTAAGGTTCTTTAGTCAAATAAGAAAAGCTTTGAAAATGCTTTTTCGACCACTCACAATCATTGTGAGGTATGTAGGATTTTTTACGGAACCTTTTTTCAAAATTTCTATTTTCGATAAAAAAAGTAGTTCGATATAACATCTTACTGTTGTACGGTGCATGAGCTTATTACTAGGATACTGACTCAAGTGGAAACATCGTTGTAATGAACTATTTTTCTGCAAAATCAAAAAAAAAAGGAATATTTACGAAACCCTGAAGGGTTTCGATTTTGTTACAAAAATCGGAACCATGCGTGAGTTTTTTATGGTACCATATTTTTTCTCAGTGTACTATATATTTGATCACATGCCTTGAAGAAACTGGCTTCGGCTTTTTATTTACTTTCTCAATGCATCTATTTCCAATTCGTTTATTTGTTACAATCAATTAGCTGAAGATAAATTATCATATTTAAATTACTTGGTTTCAATAGCAAAGTCTCTCTGCTCTGGTACTGAACGAATAAGTCGTGGAAGATCTCCTTCTAAGAATTCTCAAGTAGCTTCGTCACAGTCTATTCTTCATTTTGACAATGAAATGCATTTGCCTGTAAAACGCACACGAAGATGTGCCTATTGTAGTACAAAAGGATAACAAGTTTGATCGAGCATCAAGTGTTACACTTGTAAATTAGCATTCTGTGTAATAGATGAAAAAAATTGTTTTTTTTTGATTATCAGAAGGTTTTTATGTAATCACTTTGAGCCAAATAAAATCGATTACAAAATCATTTTTGATTGAAAAAAAAGTTCCAGTCTCAAAGGGTTAACTAGACAAAAGATTCGATAGAATACAACCAAATTATGTCAAATAATCTAATAAAATTCTCTCAATCTCTACATTCACATAGGACAGATTATTTTTCTAGATGATAAACAGAGCTGCCAACAAAAGAAAGAATTCTCAAGATTCGAAAAGATACTTTTCAAATTTTCGTAGTTTACGAGTTTTTGATGTATTGACTTCGTATAGTATGTATATTCTCCTTCGTTTCTGTTGTGGATATTATGAATAGTTCGCAAGTCGATGTAGTTCTGAAAGTCTAAAATAAAGATCATTGTCACGATAGAGCTTTTATAAAAGTCATCCATAGAAAAATGATTAACCTGACCATAAAAGATAAAGATTATTATGCAGAGAAACGAAAACCAATTCAAATTCAGAATGAATTTCGAGAAAGAAAAATAATACAAAGCAAAATCTGCTCTGTATGCTAAAGAAATATTATATTCATTTGAATTCGTTATGAACATCAAAATTAATTCTTACTTTGCATGCTGAAGAGTAGATTCAAACAAATCTTAGGAAATATCAATCGACAACAATGAAAAGTAATGAGGACAGATCAGATGAAAACTTAGTGAGACAAAATCTACATTAAAAAATCTTGAAGTTTGTAGAGAAACGTTTATCTACATAATATATTTATCACTTAACATTGTTCTTCAAATTTTGCTCGATCGATCAGCTATTGTTTTTTTCCAATAGCTAATCATATCAACAGTGTCAAAAGCTGTCTTTTGTTCAGTAATGGCTTGAATTTCGACCGGTGTAAGGATAAAGTGAAAGAGATGGAGATCCGCAAGACGGCAACCTATAAGTTCACTGAAAAGACTGTTAATATCTGAAAAATTCACTTTGATTGCCCCAAAACTCTCTTTGACCTCGGGTAGTGAAGAATTGATCCATATATCAGACCCTAATGTGAGTGATTGATGAATTTGACATTTAGAATCCCCAATAGAAATTGGAAAGTAGTTCAAATAATCTTCTGTCTGTACATAAATTTTAATGTAAATCAAGAGCGGCATTAAGTAAAGCAATGCAACAAGTATTTAGTAATGGAAATATCTATTGTCGATTTTATTGAAAAGAATTAATAACTTTATCTTTTCGCTGCTGTTAAAAGGACTCAAAGTTATCTCAAATCATTCCCCATAAATTCTAATAATTACTCCGAAATGAAATAGAAAAAAAAAATACCTTTTACATAGCTTTGCTGTTAAAATCATATAATCTGATCATACTTTTGATTTCCTCAACAATATCAAACGAATACAATAAAAAAAAACCGATTTGAATTTGAATGAAGTTGAAAAATGCTGGACGAAAAGTATCGTGTCAGCTCCATGAGCATTGCTTAGTTCTTTCTTGAAGCAAAAAGGATTGTGTGGTGTACTGAAGATACATTATTGAGTGAATTGACATCCCATACTGTGATTCTTGGAGTCACTAACCTTGAGAAATGACTGATGGATTCGAACTCCTCACGCCCAAGAACCTTTGCTCAAACTTGAACCTTTTCTAAGGACATGTTTTTCTGACCTTTGATCCTGACACATGCACACAAACACATTTTATTTCATATGATCTTTCCTATAGCCAAGGAAATAATAATTATTTTTATAAAAATCTTCATTAATTCAAAACATACTTGAAAATTTCTTTCAATATAGAGAGAAACTACCTTTTTTCATTAATTATCATATTTTTTCATGTGACAAAATCATTTTCAATCGACATAAAGAAGAGAAAAGTTCATCTTCCATATCATATTTACTATTAAATAGCGAATATCAAAATCGACAAACGATATATCATTTTCTTCGAAATATGAAGAGCGTGAATATCTACCATTTAATAATTCTCGTACATCAGTTACTATTTTTTGTTAAACATCTATTAATATCAATAAGATTTTCATTAAATTTGTCACAATGATAAATAATAACAGATAATTGTTATAATATTCTTTATAGTAAAATCCATTTGTAAAATATTAACAGATATTATCCATTTCTTAAATTTTTGTTTGAGAAATATTTCTCACCAGAGAACATACCGAAGTCTATATGACTACTTGAAAAGCATGTTTTACGAAACTTTGAATTTATGAACAAAATTCGACTACATTTTTCCTATAGAAATACTTCTAATTGAAATTGAAAATAAAACTTTTTGATGATCGTTTGTCATTGGCTAAAAATAAGATGTTCACTAGATTTTTTAAAATTTCAGTAAAGCAAGAAAAACAAATTCAACGTTCCTATATAGTTTTATTGCTATCCTTTTACATACAAAAAAAATTTTCTAGTAGAAAAATGTTCATATATAATAAATGTGATTTTAAAGCCATATTTCGATCCTTCCGCGACCACATCGTAATCGATACGGTCGTCTAATAGGATATTGATGTACTCGTTGTTGGATTAGATGTGGATAACAAGATGTTCTAGAGCCAACCAAATTAATAAAGTTGATGCGAAGTGAAACAAGTTGTTGCAAATGAACAACAAGGAAATAAATAAGTTTAAGTATACGTTTTGTAGATTTATTTTTACGATCAATCATAGGTAATGATGTCCATCTCAGTCCAAGATACGAATCATGAATAATAAAAAAAACTCTTTTCAAATTAGGTAATTGATTCGACAATAATCTGCAAAAATCTAGAGACTTTTTCCATGTCAATGTCACATCATACATCTCCAATGTTTGTACCTAATTAATAGAAAATCTAATTAATTGAAAGAGAAATCAAAAATAAAATATATCTATGATATATAAGTTCAGTCGTTTATAATAATCTTTCTGTTCTGATAGTAAATTTGAAGAATTTAAATAAAAAGAAATATAAATATCAAAACACAATTTCCAGACAAACTAATATCAATGAAATTTTTCTCTTTAAATAAAGTCCTTACTTGTTGATTGATCAGAGTTCCGAGATTATTAATATTATGTATTATTGCGTGGCGAAAAATCCCAGTATTTTCCCATATATATAGTGAATGCACATTATAAGCCATCCGTAATATTGATTCTAGTTCAGCTGTAAGAACAACATCACTATTATCAATTGAAATTTTTGTTAATGATGACCATGGAACTAATGACGATATAGAACTTGTAATATTACCCAGCTCTAAAACACAATTCTCATTCCTATAACCATGAAGAAATAATTCATTAGCGCGTGGAAACAAATCTACTGCATGAATTGGCATTGGACAAGATCTAAATAAAGAATAAAGGAAAAGTTTCTAAAAATCATTCATACAAAAATAAGATATTTTCTACATACTTTTCTAGAGCTCTAGAAAACATATATGTTGGAAGTTTTCTCTCATAACATGGTAAAGTGAATACCGTAAAATAATGACAATTATGATCGACATCATCACTAATAAGTTCTTGAATAAATACTTTCGATCGTTGTCGATTAGTAAATGGAGCTGTCAAAAATGAATTAAAAATTATTTTTTCCTTCGCATCATGTTCAACATATAAATTTAGATTAAGATTATAGATTGCTTCTGGATTGAGACGATCAACACATAACTCTTGAATAATATCACCTGATATAGTCAATGGACTAGAGATTACTACACCCGTTTCTAATTTTAATGATAGATGACAAAGTTGACCAAACACAGACGAGAAAAGCGCAATAGCTCGGTGAAAACTAATGCAATCTTTGCAATTTATATGTAAACGAGATAGATATAAAAGAAGATGCGCATCGACAGCGACAGGTAGTCTAAAAAGATTCATATGACGATTACTTTTACAAATGATAGAATATTACTTACGAGATTATATCAAAACTCTCCTTCTGATTCATTTCTAGATCTTGTACACCAACAGAAAGATTTTCAATAAATGGTATACAGGTGATTAAACGTTTGAGAAAGCGTGACGTATTCATACCAATTGACAATGTACGAAGATGAGTTGTATTTAATAAACTTGGTAAACTCATTATTGATAGCGCTGAATATTTGTCTACATCATATCGACCTTTATGATAAACATTAAATGGAAGTCGACAATTTTTTAGAAGAGGCACTTGCGAACATACCTTTTATAAATATACAAAAAAATCAATTTCATGTAGTATACTATTAACAAATGTTTTTTTTTTGTCAGAGAACAAATCTAAAATTTCCTAATGATTTCAAGAAATAATTCTTTTCTTACCTTAGTTAAATAAACTCCTTCACCATCCAAATAATGAAATGGACTAGATGATGTCACATCAACTAATAATGTATGTAATCCTTTTATTAAAGGGTTACGCAGTAAATTATCAAACTCATGTGGTGTAATATTGATTAGATGAAGGCGTTGAAGCAATGTTGTTTGATATTTCAAAGATGATGAAATAAGTGACCATCCACCAATAGCATTGGTTAATGTTAAACGTAATGAGACAAGTCGAGTTGCTACTAATTTCAAAACATTTTGACAAAGATCGTTGAACATGGATAATGACATTGTTGAATTACCCATATGAATATGCCACAAATATTCATACATAACAATTCTTGAAAAATGTTTATTCAATGATAAAAATGATTGAAGGACATCAACAGGAGACAAATAACTAAATATTTCGAAAAGAACATCGGCAGGTAACAATTCAAACGTGCTAACCATCATTTTATTCATCTTTCTTATTCATTCATACAGACCGATAAATATATATATCGATCTAAATAAGAAATATACGTTTGGCTGTTTTGTTTGACGAGCATTGTTTTTATACTTATTCACCCCTTTATTCTTTATGGATTGACCTCAGCAGCAAGAGAAAAGAGAAAGTATTAATGTCACTCGTTATTCAATGTATGTTTGGACGATTGGAAAATGACATACATGTGTTTTATTTATACAAATTGTATGATCAGATTTTTCTACAGTAAATGACGGTTGCTGTTTAACAAGGTGACAACCACAGAAACGAGCGCAAAAAAGATAACATGCCATACATAAATGACGATAAGACATTGAAAAAAACTTAAAGGAAGAAGCAACAAAAAGAAACTTATTTTGCTTGATGTCGCCAACAATTTTATCGATAATGATGTTGTTGTCAATATTTCGATAAGAATAACAATAATCTTTTCGACAGCAAAACGAACAAGAAAAGAATAAAAAAAAAAATTAAAGTATAATGGATACAAATGCAAGCTTAGTTTCAAAACCTCAAGATGGAATAACTGCACCCGCTAATGATCAACTACTTCTTCATAGTGACAGACAATATATATCTATGCTGTCGAGTACATTTACGGATTTACATCTTCTCGAATTTTTATGCTTTACTGTCATTCGCTTTTTCTTCTATTGTTCTCTATCGAATATATAAAGAATAGAAGTAAAGCAATTTGATAAGTAATAATAGAAGGAACAAGAGTTTTTTACTTTTTTCTTCTTTTTGGATGGATGTTATTAAGAAGAACAAGTATACGAAAAATAAAAATCTTGATGTTAGATATATGCTGTATTTATTAATGATCCACTGATTGTTAGGAAAAAAATTACAGGTCGAAGAATTTCGTTTTCTTCATGAACGATTTAACCGTACAACAATTGATAATTTTGAGAGAATATTACTGGGACAAATGATAAAATAACCGGTAAGAAAATATTTTTCTTAATATTTATATAATAGATTTTATTAATTGATAAGTTTATTAAATAAAGAAGAATTTATTGTATCATTTGAATCTATATTAGATCCAATTCAATATGGAAATCAAGTGGAAAAATTATTTGATAAAGTATATATAAACAATTATTATGAAATAAATGAATAAATAAATAAATAAATAAATGTTTTTTCTTTCATCTAGCTCAATTCAAAAGAAACAGAATTGATTAATTGAAATGATTTTTGTAGATATATGCTTCAATTTTATCAAGAAGAAGATTATGCAAATACTCTCCGTACATCATCTTTTAATAATGAACCAAAAATTCGATATGTACCTCATAATAAAGTTTGTATTATATATGTTATTTCTGAAAAAAATTCATTTTCTTTTTTTTCTAGCAAGAATTGTTGCAAAATTCTTCGTTTAGAAATTCTAACTAAATTTATTAATATTAGTAAAGAAGGTTATTTGGGCTTATGGACACTAAATCTTCATGTAGAAAAAACATTCGGCTGCTGATGAACTTGATGATGGTACAAGCAGTAATGTAAGTGGAATTGGACAAAATCGTCGACGAGCTCGAATGTGGGTAATTGACGCTATTTATATGCCTGATACACACATAAATTGGTACTTGCATCCACTAGTCTAGATTTAAGATTTTTTACTATTTCAAGTGAAATATTTCTTGAAGAATTTTGCATTACTTGGTAAGTCTAATAGAACAAGAAAAAAAATGAAAATTTAAAATTTTTTTAAGGTGTTAAAAATGTCCCTACTTGTCTTGAATATTACCCCAGTACTACGGTTAAATAAAATAATTAATTTTTTTTGTTAAGAGACACAACAAACAAAATCGGTATTTTTTAAAGTGAAAATAGTCGATCAGCTTTAATATTTGGTGATGATTGTGCTTTTATTCATATACTGTATTTGAAAAATCCAGTTAGTTCTCTATTTGATCCAGTTCGACGGAAATCAGATTCAACGAAATCTGATAAATCACTAGCGAATTCTATTCAATGTATTTTTTGGGATGTTAGTATATAGTTTTCTTTAAACTATTTTTTTTATTCTTCTATTTATACATATAAGAATTAAAAGAACATAAGAAATTTGTAAAATATCATAGCATGGGTACTATTCATCGAGAATATTTTCCTAAGATATTACATGCGGGACGTCAAAAAGTTCTGAGAATTTTAAAAAGTATCCTGTCGAGTTTGGCAACCTGTTCAGAATTAAAAAATTAAACACACCATGTTGTAGAGTAAGTTCAGGCGCGTCAAATGGTATATAATAAATCTTGTTGTTATAAGATTTTGACGGAATTAGATTAAATTTACTGGTAGGTACCTGTGCACCGGAAGACTCAACAACATGCACTATCCATGGAAAGCGATGATGAGTCATCGGAAAGTTGCATTTGTCCCTATCAAAGATAGAACGATCGGAGATGTTAAGTATATGAGCTTGTAGTCCATGAAAATCTCTACAAAACAGTATATAGGAAAATTATTTACCAAGGCCCACAATAATCAGCAACTGAGCATGCTTTGGATGCATGGTCTCTTACCAATAAATTCAGTCTAGTTCCTTCAAAATCTTATTAAAACAAGATTTATAATATACCATTAGACGTGCCTCAACTTGCTCTACAACATGGTGTGTTTAATCTTTTAATTCTGAATAGGTCACTAAACTCGACAGAGTCCTTTTTAAAAATTCTCAGAACTTTTTGAATCCCTATGTATATGTACCACATAATAATTCAATTCTTGCATTAAATGGAGATAATCGAAATTCTTTAGTTATTACTAATATCAACAAATTAAATAAACCTTATATTTTTCGATTATACAAAGTAAATAAATGTAAAATATTGTTGCATGAAAAATCATAATCTCATAGAGATGTGAATGTTTTGATTATAATAAAGCTTTAAATGTTTTAATAACTGGCAGTGCTGATTATCTTGCACGTATTTGCAATCTATATGTAACAGAAAAATATAGCCATTTCAGAAGGACATCATGCAGCAGTAATTCATATTAAAATTAATGAAGGTTTAGAACGATGTTATACATTTAGCAAAGATGCTGTATGGTTTTTTCTTTAAAAATGCTTGTTTTTGTAAGGTTTTAAATCATTGTATAAGTTCTTACAACTTGGAATTTAAAAGAATTTTTTTTGTCTTCAAGCAATTCTGATACGATTTCTTAGTATATTAGGCGGCAAAACATCAAATTTTGGTCTATTTCCAAAGGATTTATATCTAAATAAATTAAATAATAATGCTGATACAAGTTTACCCGATGGTTTAGTTTTAGCATGTAATGATTATTTATGTATAATGAAATTAGGACAAGATACATCTAGAGATGGTAATTTAACTGAAACACATACAGCAACGGTTAGTTGTGCAGTATATAATTCTAAACTTAAACAACTAATTATTTCATTCTCATTTTGAAAAAAATATCATTTATGATCTATATTAAAGTTAATAACATGTGCAGATAATTCAAGTATGAGTACGTGAAATATTGAATCAGGATGTAAAGCTTATTTTATACTTGATGCACATGATGGTGAAGAAATAACATGTATTTACTATTGATCGAGTATGTCGAAAACTTGTAACAGAAGCTCGAAATAGTGTTGTTACAGTAAGATGTTCTTTTAGTTGTATTCTTTTTTTTCATTGTTTTTCTTTTTTATTAAGATTTAGAATAGTGCTAATGAACAAAGTTTTCATGTATTAGCAAGTGTAGAAGATGCAGAAATAACAGAAATTGCTTTTGCTGATAAAGGTATTATTACAGTTGGATGGTTTAAAAAAATCTTTAACTATTCTGATATTATTTCTGACGTAAATAATCATCTTTTTTTCGCTGTTATTTTTCTTTTTTATTAATATACATACATTTATAGGATATAATTGATGATCAGACGAATACTGTAGAGGTATTAATAGAGTGAGAAAAAATGACATTTGTTCAAATAAAGATTGATGTACAGATTGAATTAACTTATTAATTTATTTGTTTTTTGAAATAACATTTCAAATAAATAAATAACGAATTTTATTTGTTTATTTAGCTTGTTGTATCTAAAGCTGATTTATCATGGCGTGGCCCACAGATATATCGTGATGATATATTATGTTTAGAACATCTATTGCCAATTAATAATTTAATATGTACAGCTTCACATGATGATGAAATTAATGTATGGAGTATTGATACGGAAAAATGACTTATATGTTTATCTAAAGCACTAAAAGCTGAACTGTAAGAATATTATATTTGATTATACTTCTAATATTTTCTATTTGAACTTTAGTCGTCGTGAACCATCAAATTATCGTCGATCATCGTCACGTGGTTCAATAATACAAGATCCAGCATCTCTTGATAACCTTCTCTCTTTCTTCGATATCGTGCTTAAGAAAATATGAAATTTGGCATGTAATTATTAGAAAAAAAAATTCGTTATTTTTATTTGTTATATTGATAGATGTTTTACTATCAAGTGAAGCTGGTAATCTGTACTGATGGTCACTTTATGGTAAACGTAAAGATATGGGAATGTTTTCTAGGCCATCTACACCAGGTGAATCGATATTAGCTATGTGTACTGATGCAACAAATCGACATTTGATTTGTTGTGATACTCGTGATGAAATACGTATATGAAATACAGAAGACTATTGTTGTTCAACAACATCACCTGTTTTATTTGATTGAACAACACCACTACTTGTACATTTTTGGCAAGGATATCTATTACCAATTATCTTTTGTGAATGCACTGATTATAAAGGAGATGGGAGTTTTATATTAACTGGATCAACTGATCATACAGAACATTTATGGACTATAAATAGAGGAGAAATTCGAATATTTGGACAAAGACAAAAAAGGGATATTGAATTATTACTTTCATCAAAAGAAACAAAATAGAGATAAAAGTACGTTCTTTTTATTTGAAACATGAACAAATATAATGATACTGTTCAAAACGAAATGTCTTTATCGTCATCTTCATCATCACTTTCTTCTTCATTATTTAAAATCTTCATAAAAAATGTATTCAACATTTTTGATTGATGCATTTTCATTTGATCTGTTTTTGATAAATTAATTGGTAAATTTGGTTTTAATTTTATTCCATTATTGTCCGTAATGGTTAAAGAAAATTTATAACCATCGTTCTTCGATTGAGCTGTTTTATATCTTAAGTGAACTTCAATTGGAATAGCATAGATTAGCAACTTTTTTTGATTTATTATTTGTTTTTTTTTGTTTCTCGGATCCAAAGAATAACGCATGTACTTGAATACATATGGCGGATGTAAATTTCTTTCAATTCCACCGGGAATATTAATGAAAAATTGAAAATCGACATATTCTGTTGTGGATGACATGATTTATCTACAAAAGACAAACGTAGTTCTAGTGTTGTTTCTAATAGTAAATACAAGAATAAAAAAAATAGCCAAAAAAACTAAGTACCATTATAACGAAAAAATTGCCACATACAATTGCACGTGGTGTTTCACAAAAAAGTTCAAGAGTTACAAGTAAAACTTTCTCTTTCACACTAAACAAAAATAGTTTTCATATTATAAAGCCTCAATATTTCAAATAATATTTACTATTTACGTAATATTGTATAAATTCCACCATCAAGATAAAATATTAAAACAGCTGTCGCTCAAAGAGCAGTTGCTTTAGAAAACATCAATTCGTGACTAAATATTCCCATAAAATCTATGAATTAATTTTGCAAAATAAAAACAGAATTAAAAACAATTCACAAATAGAACTTACTGAATAAAGCAGCTGTTGAAGATGAATAGAATGAACTAAAAGCATTTTCACGCAATGCTCTACTACTGACAACATTAACAATATGTCCATAACTACGAGATATCATTTCACCAAGTAAATCTTTAGTAATCTATTAATTATAAAATTTTTAATAAATTATACAAATATTAGAATAAGTGTATTGACGATTAATGTATATTGATATTCATCATCTGTGTGAGATGTAGGATTTTTAATATGATCTGTTCCTATAAAATAGAAAATGAATTCAATTATCTTTATATAAAGAATCTTTATTTTAAAAAATATTTACTAGCACAATTGATCGATACTGAAATATTATCAATTAATTATTCACAAATAACTTTTATTATGTAGTTGAGTGCATTCAAATTACTACAGAATTTGAATAAATTCAGCAATTCTTTTTTACTTTAGGAATAAATAAAATAAATCTAAGATCACATCGATAAGTATAAATATAACAATGGCCTTTGTCATAGATTAGTTCAAGTGAATTTTTAAGATCATCTAATGGTTTCTTTTGTATATCTAATAAAGCAAGACAACGAGCTTCATGTGCAAATATAATAGCTAATGCACGATCAAGACAACCATCAGCTAAAATCAATAATATTAAATAAATACTGGATGAATATGAGCGGTAAACATGAGAATTAAAATATAGAAACGTATACATCTGTTAATATTGTCATCGTTTCGAGCGAGTGAAAATGATGAATAAACACTACTATTAGTGTTGTCTATATACAAACAACAGAGAAGAATGACTAAGATAATGCACATGTTGACCTTCGTCTTCCGATATATTTAGATTTAATCTATCGATCGACTATCGACGACATCATTCGTCATAATTGTTACGTCCGATATTAACGTAAAATTCCATTTGTTTATTATTAAACTATTAAAGGTTTTAGAAAATTTTAAAAATCATTCCATGTAAAAAAAAAAGATTTCAAATTTTTAGAATAGTTCTATCCTCGCACCAT